TCCTGCCTCAGTCTCCTGAGTAGCTGGGACTACAGGCACATGCCACCACACCCAGATAATTTTTGTATTTTTAGTAGAGACAGGGTTTCACCATGTTGGCTAGGATGGTCTCGATCTCTTGACCTTGTGATCCGCCCATCTTGGCCTCCCAAAGTGCTGGGATTACATGCATGAGCCACCGTGCCTGATCACTTTTCTTACTTCTATCTTACTCCAAGCTCATTCTTGTTTGTATTTTTCAAAAAAACAAGGCTCTCCTTATATTGCTTCCTCCTTTCACGCTGCCCATTTCTATAATTTCCTTTTCAGCAAAATTCCTTAAGAGAGATTTCTGTTTTTTGTTTTTTCTTTTTTCTTTTTTGAGATGGAGTCCCGCTCTGTCGCCCAGGCTGGAGTGCAGTGGCCCGATCTCGGCTCACTGCAAGCTCCGCCTCCCAGGTTCACGCCATTCTCCTTCCTCAGCCTCCCTAGTAGCTGGGACTACAAGCACCTGCCACCACACTGGGCTAATTTTTTGTATTTTCAGTAGAGTTGGGGTTTCACCGTGTTAGCCAGGATGGTCTCAATCTCCTGACCTCGTGATCTGCCCACATCGGCTTCCCAAAGTGCTGGGATTACAGGTGTGAGCCACTGTGCCCGGCCAAAACAGATTTCTTATAATCCATATCTTCACTCTCTCTCCTACCATCCTCTTTTGAACCCACTCCAATCAGACTTTCATTGCCATCACACCACAAAAATTCTCATGAATATGATCTCCCATAGTCAATTCTCAATTCTTTATTATTTGACTACTAACAACATTTGTTTGTCTTGCTTTTTTGTTTCCAAAGGCTCTCCCTCAGAAGAATATTAGCAGCATTTGACACAGTTAATCACTCCTTCCTCCACTGAACACTTTCTTCACTTGGCTACCAAGACACCACACTTACCTGGTTTATGCCCACCCTTTTTCAGTCTATTAAATAATTTTCTCTTTTCTTCCTCATGTCCCGATTCCAAACACAGATGTATCCCAAAACACAGTTCTTATTCCTCTTCGTTCTGTCTCCACTCATGCAAAGGATGACTTTACGTGTTCCATGGCCTCGAAGCCTATCCATGGGTTGACGACTCCCAAACCTCTCTTTTGACACCAGAGTTGTATGTCCAATTGCCTATTAGACAACACTACTTTGACATCTCATTGGCATTTCAAACTTAACATGGCAAAAGCCTTCCATTTCCTGCTTGCTCTTCCTAAAGTTTTTCTAGTCCCATTCAGTTGCAAATCCATCCTTAAAGCTGCTAAAGCTTCAAGCTTTGGAGTCACTCTTGACTTCTTTATCTCATACACTATATCTTATCCGTCAGCCAATTTTTTCAGCTGTACCTTAAACATACAAGCAGAAGTCCAGCCACTTCACTCTACCAACACTGCTACCATCACTTCTCATTTGAATTATTACAACGGCCTCTTATAACCGTCATCATCAAACTGGGTTCAGTGGCTCATGCCTATAGTCCCAGTAACTTGGGAAGCTAAGAAGGGAGGATCACTTGATGCCAGGAGTTAGAGTCTGCAGTGAGCTAGGATCATGCCACTGCACTTCAGCCTAGGGAACAGGGTAAGACTTCAACTAAAAAAAAATTAGCATAAAAATAATAGTCACTATTCATGTTGGAAACAGATGGTATACTGCCTTAGTCTGGGCTGCTATAACAAAATACCATAAACTGGCAGCTTATAAACAACAGAAATTTGTTTCTCAGCGTTCTGGAAGGCTGGGAATTTTAAGAGTAAGGTCCTGACTGATTTGGTGTCTGATGAGGGCCCATGTCTTCATAGACAGAAATCTTTTCACTCTTAAGTCCAAGACCAAGGCAGAATGTGTGTCTGGTAAGGGCCCCCTTTCTGTTTCACAGACAGTTCCTTCTCACTGTGTTCTCACAGGGTGGAAGGGACGAGAGTCTCTCTCGTGCCTCTTTTATGAAGGTGCTAATCTGATTCACAAGGAGTCTACCATTATGATCTAATCATTTCCCAAAGGCCCCATCTCCTTATACCATCACAATGGTTATTAGGTTTCAACATATTAATTTGGGGGAAGACAAACATTCAGACCACAGCCAAATGGAAAGTTTAATAAGAGGACTGTTTACAAAGATGTGGACAGGATGAAGGGAAACTGGCATAAAATGTTCAAGTGCCCTGTGCCTAGCAAGCAGGGGCCAGTAGTAAAGGCATGACTACCCTTAAATCTGAAGGAGTGAGAGGCAGGAGTAATGACCAGAACACGTGCACACAACAGGAGCAGTATTCTTCAGCAGACCAATTCAGTCAGCCTACAGCAATCACCAGAAAGTGAGAGGTAGAAATAAAAACCATGAATTCACTTTCCTCCTGCCTTCTGATCTCCTGATCACAGACCTAAATGAATCCTAAGGCAGAAAACAAGAGAGCTGCTCATGGATACAGCTCATTAAGCTCACCCTCCTAACCTTTCTGCTCCTCTGGAGCACAGAGCAGGAAAAAAACGTAGAGAGAGGATCTGGGGAAAAGCAAAATGCATCCAGCAATATAGCAATATAGTGAAGTAAATGTTACTTTCACAGGGTGAAATGAAACAATCTGTGTAAAGCATTTAGTACAATGTCTGGCACATGGCTTTTAGCTGGTGGGGCAACCCCCTTATTTGCCTGGCATTATAGTTCCAAATGTGGACTTTTGCGGTGGTAATTTCCAAACTTTAGGTGATGACCAATTAGTGGGTTGTGAGTTTAGTAGGTTTTCTAGCACTTATTTTTTTAAGAAACAGAAAAGACCAGTATGCATTTCATGAAGTAAGGATAAGTATTATCTAATATATATCTGTGTGCGCAAGTATGTATTTGCTCCTTGGGTCACAGTGTAATATATATTTCTTACTAAGGATGACAGCCAAAAAATATTTGAAAGCCACAGTGCAAGAACACTCTTAGCTACTGCTCTCAACTCTCACTTATTTTTTCCCAAGGAGAAGTGACTTACCTGATTTAAAAATTTGAGATGAGAAACTAAGAAGATGTGCTTGAGTCCTTTCTCATTCTTTTGTCCCTACCCCCTCTTTTGTCTTTTATTACTTTCTATAGTAAACTAAATAATGTGCCCCAAAGATATCAGGTCCTAATCCTTGGAACCTGTGAATGTTACCTTATATGGCAAAGTCTTGGAAACTATGATCAAATAAAGGATCTTGAGAAGGGGAGATTATCCTGGATTATCTGGGTGGCTGGTAAATGCAATTACATATATCCTTTAAGAGGAAACCAGAAGGAGATTTTACAAACAGAAGAGAAGGACAATGTGAAGATGGAGAAGTCGGAGCAGAGTGAGATTTCAAGATGCTGGCTTACAAGACTGCAGTGATTCAGTCACAAGTCAAGGAATGCTGGTAGTCATCAGAAGCTGGAAGAAATGAGGAATGATTATCTATTCATCAGTCAATGGACATTTAAAAAGATTACTTTTCAAGGCTATTTCTAGGATCTTGGCAGGTAGGTAAGAGGCAACCAGACTTAGATTCATGAATGCGGTGTCACGAGAATGAGGAAGGCTTCTACCCTCCAATTTGTACTCTGGTTTCCCTCATAATAAGAGCCCCACACTGAGTGACAACTATGTGCAGAACACAATATGTGCATAATCTCTACATTCACAAAAACTCAGCAAGGTAGTTATCATTACCTTCATTTTACAAATGAGGAAGAAACTCAATCAGAAATAACTTGTCCAAGTCACAGTATTAGTAAGTGACAGAGCCAGGTTACCTCCAGTTTGATCTGCCACCAAAAACAGAGCTATCTCCAGCTCAACAAAGTGTCTTGCTGTGTTGCCACTCCCAATTTCCTGAGTCTGGGCTTTTGTAAAGTCTCAAAGCTAATTAGATTCTATTGCAAATCTGTTCCTCCAGAAAACTGCATTACATAGTTTGTACATACCAAAAATATGCATAATAAATTTTTCCAGATAGCATTCTAGTTTGTTGATGCCAATTTGGTCCCAAGGTCTTATGCCTCACTTGATTATTTATTTTGTAATTGCTGGATAAAAACTAGATAAAAGAGAGGCAAAAGAGGAAGTTATAAACTTAATGCTAGTGTCTTAGTGCTGGATGTCACCTTAAATCATGTATTGACAATAAATTACGTCACAAAAACCTTAGAGCTAGAAGACCTCTTGGATTATCAAATGCAAACTGTTTTTGCAGATGAGGAAAACAAAGCCAAAAATTTTGCATATTTGTTTAATAAGTAACCAAGTCATCAAAGCAGAATTGCATTGCAATGTAAACTGATACTTAATAATCTGTAAATTCTAAGAGGGAAGTAACTCCAAACTTATTTTGATCATGTAAACATTGCATTGTAAAATTCCATTATTGTTTCCATTATTTTTCTCTTCTCAAGCATTTATGTAGGGACGTATGAAACTGATGTCCACGTAAGGGCAAAATCCAGCCCTACTTTTTATTTTGGGTGAGGAGGAAAACTTTTAAATAGCCCTTTTCAGTTGTAGGATCTTGACATTCCATGTTCAGAATATGAACACTTTAATCCCATTCTACAAAACGAAAACCCAAACATTCACAAAGTCTTGTCAAATCACATCCTTAAATGAAGTTCTTTTAAATTAAAAAATGCTACCGAGCAACCCCTGAAACACAGTGTGGTTGGTTTCATTTGTTGTTCTGGGCATCTCGTTTAGTACACTGGGTAACAACGTATTTGTTTGGGTTCGTGGTGGAAATCTGTCACAGCATGTTTAACTATATTCACCACCCTTGACAATTATTAACATAAAATAAAGGCAAAACGAGGTGCTAAGATGGGGGGGGGGGAATCGTTCTGAGTAAAGCTGCCCATGCCCTTTCCTGCAAGAATTTGCAAATACCCACCGCCCAGGAGCAAAGGACAGAAAACACAGAGAAGCCCCACCTCTACACCTAGAAAGGAAAAGATCCGCCCACCCTTCAACCAACCCGAAGTCGCTTTCTCCGCTCTGTCCACTGCTTGAGCGACTTTCCTTCTCCTCCGCGTCCCCTTTTACGACAGTTTTCCGGCCTAGTTTGCGGCTGCTCCTGCCGTGTTGCGTAGGGCGCCTGTGCTTGAGCGGTTTGTGCTTGAGGTTGGGGGTTGCGTCGCTCTCTGGTAAAGGCGTGCAGGTGTTGGCCGCGCTCTCTGAGCTGGGATGAGCCGTGCTCCCGGTGGAAGCAAGGGAGCGCAGACGGAGCCATGGTGAGTGCGGCCTTCCGGTCTCCTTAGCAACATCCGGCCCAGGCCTCAGCCTCAGCTCCCGGCCTCGGAGGTGTGGAGTTGAAGTTGTGCTCCTTAGTGCGACTCTGGGCGGGAGGTTTCGGTTTTCGGGGCGTCACACTCACCAGGACACAGCCCTGTTGGCTCGCTCCTCTTGGGTCTTTGTGTTTTTACATCGTCTTTCTGCACGGTTCTCCAGCTTCTTGTCCGCACGGGCTCTGGGCGCTAAGGCGTTGCTTGCCTGGAACTCCTGTAAGGTCAGAAGTCTATCATGGACTCGGAGATTAGTGGAAACGTATTTGATTATAGGTGCCCTTGCCCTAACACATCTTCACAGCACTGGCTCCACTTTGCTATATCCTTCTCTTTGGCTTTTGCCGACAGATGTCGTCTCCATGCGGAAATTCCTGAACATATTTGGGCCTCTGTTGTTAGGAAACAACAGGGCAGTGCCAAAGGTATATTCTCCTAGTTTAGCCCACGTTTAGCCTCGAAAATGCGTTATCAGAATTTTACAGGAGCCGTCTGTGAACAGTTTTTCCTTCTGTAGCAGAAATCTTATTTCCACTTTTTTTTTTTTTTTTTTTTTTTTTTTGAGACAGAGTCTTGCTCTGTTGCCCAGGCTGGAGTGCAGTGGCAAGATCTCGACTCACTACAAGCTCCGCCTCCCGGGTTCGCCGTTCTCCTGCCTCAGCCTCCCAAGTAACTGGGACTACAGGCGCCAACCACCACGCCTGGCTAATTTTTTTTGTGTGTTTTTAGTGAGACGGGGTTTCACTGTGTTAGCCAGGATGGTCTTGATCTCCCGACTTCGTGATCCGCCCGCCTCGACCTCCCAAAGTGCTGGGATTACAGGCGTGAGCCACCCGCCCGGCCTATTTCCACTACTTTTGATTGAACTTTAATGTAACCTAATTTGTCCGGGGATGAAAGAAGTTTTCAAACGGAGGGAATCATCTTTTTCCCTATTGTAGAGGTAAATAAGCAAGTCGAACTTGCCGTCTTTCCCATAGTAATGAATCCGGTAACTTTAATACATTCGGTATAACAGATGCAGTAGTTTAAGGATTGCTGGGCAGAATATTTCTGCCTTAAAAGTTGTTTCTCGGCCAGACATGGTGGCTTATGCCTGTAATCTTACCACTTTGGGAGGCCTAGGTGGGAGGATTGCTTGAGGCCAGGAGTTCAAGACCAGCCTAGGCAACATAGCAAGACTCCGCCTCTTAAAAAAAAAAAAAGGAAAAAAAATGTTGTTTCTCCTATTAAAATGCAGTTTGTAATGAGTTGGTGATGGGAGAATGGGCAAAATGAGAAAGGGTGGGAATTAGAGAAGTAAATATTTACTCTTCTCCCCCTTACCAGGCCAGTACAGTGGTAGCAGTTGGACTGACCATTGCTGCTGCAGGATTTGCAGGTTTGTTTATGGTTTGGGGGTGGAAGTGAAGTCGGGGAGATTGGAGATTTACTTATTCTATTGCTTTTGGTTTTAGGCCGTTATGTTTTGCAAGCCATGAAGCATATGGAGCCTCAAGTAAAACAAGTTTTTCAAAGCCTACCAAAATCTGTAAGACTTAATGAACACTTTTGCTAATTCTTTGCTGCTTGTATTTGAAACCTAGAGCCACACTTAAGGAAGGGTAAATTTTCAAATATCCATGAAGTTCTAAGTGATTGCTTTGGACCCATTCTCCTGCTTCCCACAAGGAGAGTATAGAAGTTCTGAACTTTGTAATGGTGCTACCCTGAAACATCAGATGTTATATGTGACAGAGTTGGATGGGGTATTGATAATTCTAGTACCCCACTAGACCCAACTTTCTTGTGAAATAATCACTTTTTCACATACCATCACCTTCAGCATCATCTATACATATTCTTGTTTTCCTTTATCTGCTCTGCATGACACACACAGAGGTATATGAGATTCTAAAGTGATCCGATCTTACCATGTGGCCCTGGCACTCCCAAACGTCATACATAGGTAGCACTCTAGTTAATTAGGCTGTAGGGTTTGACTTGATGTTCTGGTCATACCCTATGTGGTCACAGTTAAGAATAGATTTGATTGTGATCATCTGTTGAATATTTATGTTGTGATTAAGTGTAACAGAATAGAGTGATTGTAGGCTTTACTAATATGATTTCTGACATAGCAAGGCCAGAGGAGCTGATAGTGGTATTTTCTGTATATGTATCTTAAAGTCTTGTTTCAAATACCCTTGAACCTCTTGTCTCAAAAGACTTCCAGATCCTGTTCTGGAGCCACTTCTTAATACCTCAGGAGTTGCACTTAAAAGTCCTCTGGAATGTCTTAGTTTTTCTACTGGCTCTGTGAATATTTCCAGACTTCTTTTTTAAAGCGACTTTGTTTATTGTATTAACCTTTCTTTACAAATGGCATTTCTTCTTCCAGGCCTTCAGTGGTGGCTATTATAGAGGTGGGTTTGAACCCAAAATGACAAAACGGGAAGCAGCATTAATACTAGGTGTAAGGTAAAATAATCTCTAATATTTTTAGCATTTTTCTACCACTCTAGAGCAATGAGGAAATATAAGACCTTCTCTCCTTTAATAGGAGAGGGTCATGGGGATTTTGTCCTAGGAAGATTGATATTACCAATTCTAATCAATGAAACTGTACTGTTCCTTCATGTTATTTTTAAGATGTAAACAGTCCTTCAAATCAGAAGGCACACTAGCACTTAAGCACTTTTTCTTTTTTCCTAGAGTGTTTGCTAAAACACAAGCACTTTTTCATTTATTGAGAGATAGACTCCTCAGCAGATTATCACAGTGTTCAGTGTTCTCTGTAACTGACATTTTTTTTGTGTGGTGAAATTCTGCCTTTGGCCAGGCACAGTAACTCATGTCTGTAATCCCAGCACTTTGGGAGGCCAAGGCCGGTGGATTACTTGAGGTCAGGTGTTCAAGACCAGCCTGGCAAACATGGTGAAACCCTGTCTCTACTGAAAATACAAAAATTAACCAGGCGTAGTGGCACACGCCTGTAATCCCAGCTACTTGGAAGTCTGAGGCAGGAGAATCACTTGAACCCGCGAGGCAGAGGTTGCAGTGAGCCAAGATCAAGCCACTGCACTCCAGCCTAGGTGACAGAGTGAGACTGTCTCAAAAGAAAAAAAAAAAAATTCTGCCTTCTTCACTTTCAAATCCTTAAACATGCTTTTCTTATCAATAAAAGGACTGTTGTAATGAGTATTACAAGTTCAACACATTTTTGAGAGTGCCTTACTTTTCTAAGGAGCAGTTTAGTTCCCCAATTTAGGATACGCATTGGGTGTGTTGAGGTTTCTAAACAGCTTTTCATATCGTTGTGTTAATTTACTAGTTTCACAATGTCTTTAATTGGCCTTTACGTACAATTGTTTGATGTGATACAGAAGTAGGTTGAAGTAAATACCTTTTCTTTTTTTTAATTAGCCCTACTGCCAATAAAGGGAAAATAAGAGATGCTCATCGACGAATTATGCTTTTAAATCATCCTGACAAAGGTAAGTAGCCATTAAATTCTTGTTGTAGATGTTGCTCGTGTGACTAGTTGTTATTAATGGGATTTTATCTCAAATTCCTGGCTATTAGAAGGGAAACACTTAAATCTGTGTGTAAGTCCTGTCTCCTAGGCTGGAGCCATATGTTTTTGGTATCTTAAATTCTGAGTGAAAACTTTATTTACAGAGTGAGCAGATGTAAGTGCTACTATTACTATGTTTTGTGGGGTTTTTTGGCCTACATTTATTATAAATTAAGATGTTAAATTTCAGTAAAACTAAAACGTCATTTTTCCTTATCCATTTTAGATACCTTGAAACGGAGATTACCTAGATAGAAACTTAATGGGATTTATTTATTCGTTTCTGATACACTTCTATGCAGCCTTGGCTGTGTTGAAGGAAAGCCAAGAATTTCTTTGAATACCAAAAATTAGACCACAGAATTCATGTTCTAGTGTTTGTATCCTTTTACTTATACAGGAGAGGGCTTTCATTAATAAAGAGGGTTTTTCAGTTTAAACAGCGTTATAATTGTTTGATATCTGATTTCACAGTGTCTTTTATGAAATTCAGCTTGTATTATATGGAGGGCTTCTGATTCAGTAGGTCAGCAGTTGGGCCCCATAAATATGCATTTATACTAAGTTTCCTGTTATTTGTTGCTGGTCTAAGACCATACTTTGAGAATCACTCCTCCAGCAGATTTGTAGGAAAGCAGCTGTAGATTGACATTGTGAAGGGACAGTAGATAATAGAAAAACTGGACAGAAAAAGGATGTAAAGCAAACTGTTATCTTTCCAGTAAACAGCTCAGAAGCCTTTGAGAATATCATGGTATAATTGATGTTCATTTATGACCTGTAATCATGAATAGGCTAACACCAGTTCAAAGGCATATACATATGTCTCCAGTATATGTGATAGAAATCCTATTTCTATCAGTTTAAGCTTTCTAAAAAGCTGTCATTTTTGTAGAAATCTCTCCCACGTAAATTCATTTCTCATTGGTCACATATATTACCATGTATCTGGTCATCCAGTTGCAGTGTCAGGGTTAATTTTTAAAAATTAAAAACACTGTTTCTGCTAAATCTCCCTCAGATAAGCATTGGAGTCCTTGAAACAAGAGTAGCTTTTTACCAAGCAGAAATTGAGAATCCATATTGTAACTGTTCTTTTTTCTTTCTTCCTATAGGAGGATCTCCTTATATAGCAGCCAAAATCAATGAAGCTAAAGATTTACTAGAAGGTCAAGCTAAAAAATGAAGTAAATGTATGATGAATTTTAA